AGCAGTGGCGCCATAGTTTCGCCGCTGGGTCTATTTTTGTCGGTGCATCGATAATGACCAAAAACACATTAAATGAGCAATTTTACCCAATAAATGCATCAATAATATCCACAGATTTTTTTATATTCAATTAAATGAACCTAAACAATTAGAACAACAACAAATATTTAGTTGGGTCCGAACTACAAAAAGAAATTTAAAACAGTTTTTTAAAATAGTTTTAAACTAGTGGCGTTTTGAAATGAATTAATGCAAATAATCAAGATAACCATGATTATTTCTTAGACTATAATCGTACAACCAAAATTTATAATCGTTGCATCCCTAATTGGAAATACAAACTTGCACACGGAAAAGACGCGATATGTGAATGGCCTGCAGCTATCGTTAATATCGTTATGTATAAGCTCGAACCTTTAAACTAGCGCACAGGTGGCATCATTTTGTATAGTTGCAGCAGTTTCGTTTCGTGTAAGAGAAACGCGGCGTTGAGAAGCCTTTAAACTTAAGTATGAAAATGTTTTCGGCTGCTCGCGCCACTCATTCGCTTAATGTCAGGTGACTTACTATCTGCACAGTCTTCAACTGCAGCTCATGCTGTTTTGAAAAGACGCACATCACTTCATAACTAAAGCGTCTGTTTTTCGACTGAACTTAATTTATTTTTGATGTCTTGGTCAGACTATTTGGAGGGCTGGAATAAATTGCCTTGTGGGCCGAGTTCGGCCCGCGGGCCATCAATTGAATAGGCCTGTCATAGATTTATATGCAAGTAATCCATAGGTGTATGCATGTGTTTTATGTATGTGTTGATAAGTGAAGTTTGATTTAAATCCTACACAGCGTCTCACTTCTGAACGCATAATCTTACTCTGCATGAAAGACTCTTGAATGGAAGATTAACCTGACAAATATTGAGTCCGCGAGCCTGAATCTGGTTTCTAAACCATTCACTGAAAGCAGGAAGTGCAAACATCAGCATCCTCATCAAACATGAGCCCACAAAGCGCTCATAACCACAGGCCGGCCAGCAGAAAACAAGCTCTGGTGGAAGAAAAAGCCTCTTTCATTGAGTGAATCATGCTTTGTTGATGCTCCTTGACCCATATGAGCAAACAGAAAGATGCCACAGCTAGAGCTTTCATATCTGAGCATGAACAAAAACAGGCTAAAAATACTGTAAGAGCACAACGGGAGCTCTGTGCAGGACTGCAGGGGGACACCAACATCTCGTACAGTCAGGACGAAAAGTTTTCAATCGGAGTATATTTGTTTTTCATCAAGGTCTACTCAAGGTTGCATAAGGCAAGATATAGTGCTTATAAATTCAAGCAGTAAGCAAACTACACTGTAATAAATTGCTGTAAATCGTACAGTAATACTGGCAATTTCGGTTGCCAGTAATAGTGTAAAATTTACAACACAGGCTTATTCTGAAAATGTAGCCCCGTGGACGTTTCTAGAGAATGCAAATTATGAAGCTGGAGGTACTTATAGTTGCATTTCATTTTTTTAAGCGAATACTACTGGGCGGTATGATGTCGTTCCTTTTGGCTCTTACCTCCATGTGGAGGGCTTTCCTACCGCAGCCAGTTTGTCCAGCTAACTCGTCGTGTTCGTCAGCGGACTTGAGACGCAGAGAGGAGTTAACCACAATCGTAACAACGACGACTGGGTTCGAGTCCGGGGAAGAGCGGTTCCATAAATCAGGTAAGAATCCAAAAAAATAAAATGAACGAGTGAACAATGGGGTGAGAATGTGGTAAAATCTGAAAACGTGGTAAAAATCAGATGAGGGCTTTTCTTTTTCTGGACGGCTTTTGTAAACCCTAGGTTGGGTTTAGGGAAGTAAGTGGGTGGGCGGGTCAATCTGTAAATTTAGTTGGGTTTAGGGAAGGAGGAGGGTGAGTCAGTCGATTGGCTGGTCGCCCAGTCAATCATCAATCATTCAGTTGGGTGACAGGCCGAACGGCACTCGCGAGAGACATTTGAGATGTGAAAAAGCACAAACAGCGGCCCCTCGTGATATTGTGAAACAAAAACTGCAAAAAGTCACCCGTGCCAATGCCAAATGTTTCAATGATGCCAGCAAAAAAATAAAAAATCTTGGGCTGTGGACAATTTAAAACATGTATTGTTCTCTGAGGAGTCCACCACTACTGTCTTCTCCACATCTGTGAGAGTTACAGTGTGGAGAAGCCTTAAAGAAGCGTACCACCCAGACTGTTGTATGCCCAGAGTAAAGCATGGGGGTGGATCAGTGAAGGTTTGGGCTGCAATATCAAGACATTCTCTAGACCAGCGGTGTCCAAACTACGGCCCGCGGGCCATCTGCGGCCCGCAAGGTGTCCAAACTACGGCCCGCGGGCCATCTGCGGCCCGCAATCAGTTTTGTGGCGACCCGCGAGGCTTTTTATAAATATTAATAGAATCTGGCCCCCTATACAAAAATGAACATAATTAAATAAATAACCACCGGGTGTCGCTATTACATGCCTTCAATTAGGCAGCACTTCTTGTAATGATGCAAAACGAACCAAAAAAAAAAACTGAAGGAAACATAATTGATAACATTTTGATTTACATTTTGGCAAGCCATGGCAAAATCAAGAAAAAGGAAAATCAACAGTGAGTTCAGGAAATTTCAGTCACGTTGGGGAAAAGAATATTTCTTCACAGAGGTCAGCGGGAAATGTATCTGTTTAATTTGCCAGCAATCAGTTGAAGTGATGGAGTAATTTAATATTAAAATACATTATAAAACAAAACATCAGGCCTTCAGCTCTTACACTGGTGCCGAACGAGATCAAAAAGTAACAATTAGCAGCTGCTCTATCAGCTCAACAACAGCAGTTTTTTCGTGCTAATAAAGTGCAAGAAAATTCTACACTGACTAGTTATGAGGTATATATATATATATATATAT